AGACGCGGGGGCGGCCGCGGGGGTGCTTTTTGGAACGGCAGTGGACCTCATTGTGCGTTTCGACGTTTTCAAAGCGTACCCGTTCCAGCTCTGCTACTTGTGCCGTGCGTGGTTCCCGCAGACGTACACGACCCATATCTTGCGATTGCTGCACGGGCCTGCTGGGAAATTGGATGTCGGCGTCACGTTTCAGTTGTACTCCCTCGCCTGGGCGACGGGGGACGAGATGAGCGCAATTCGTTGGTTCGCATCCGAGCCCGTGCAGGATTTTTTGCAGCGAACCTGTCAGGAGGCGCTGGCCACTTCCCTGCCAGCGGAGCGAAGGCACGCCGAGGCGAAACGTTGGGAGACCTCCAAGGTGACCAACATTGCCACGGCCTCTCGCGACATGACGTGCGTTCGACATGCCAAACATAGGGAGGCCGGAGCTTTTAAATTGGAGGCGGCGGCCAGGGAGGTGCGGCGCTGTCGGAAGATACGAAAGGAAAGCTTGGCATGGAAGGTGGGTGCGCTCCGCCCGCGCGGCCAGCAGTTTGGGCGCGTCGGTGACTCCGACCCCGACGAAGACGACACGGCCGCGCGGCGGCTCGCGTACATCGAGGAGCATGCCGACGAGCTCGAATCCCAGCGGGCCGCCTTGGTGGCCGCTGCTGAGCGGGAGTACGAGTCGTTGTTACTTGCGTGCCGCGTGCCCTTGACGAGGGCGCAGTGGGCCCAGTGGCTGGACGAGAACATGGAGCAGTTCGCGGAGAAGATGCAGTCCGCCCCAGGTCGCCGCCGCGCCCGGAACCACCGCCTGCGCGCCCGGCCCGGCTTGCCGCTGCCTGCCGCCCGCGTGGGGCCAGAGGTCGACCAGTGGAAGCCTTGCGAGACGCAGTGGGGGGTCATCCTGGAGCGCCGTTCGGGGTGGCACGGCATCCACGTCCGCCCGAACAGGAAGCACATGTTCTTTTTGTACACTCTGGCTGGGAGAACCTACGCCATCGACATGGAACCATTTTTGACTGGGGCCGTGTTGACGTACAATATCCTGGAGGATTTTGATGTGGCAGCAGCTATCCTCCCGCTGGCTGTCCTCGAGGATGCTTACACCGACGCTGACGTGCTCGGTGTTTTTCGATTCCGCGTGCGAGGGGGCCCCGCGCCCGGCGGGGGCTTCCTCCTTGCCGCCGAGGCGGGCTGCCGCCTCATTGAGCCGCTGCCCCGCCCGCGGCGCGCTGAGGCGCCCGAGGGCGACGAGGAGGCGGGCGACGGCGCGGGCTTGGAGACCTGTCCGAAGGATCTAGGGTTGGACGGCGACGGCGGTTCTTCCGAGGACGACCTCCCAGGCCTGTCCGATTCATCTAGGGTCGTCGACACGGACGCAGATTCCACGCCCGAAGGGAGCAGCGTGGGCTCGGACTCGGCGTCAGAATCTGGCGGCGAGCCCGCCGGCAGCGACGCCCCCCTGGCGGTCGACCTCGAAGACTTGCCAGGCCTGGGCTCAGAGGAGGTCGCTGGCCCCCCTGGGAGGGGCGGGGGCGCTGGGCCGAGAGGGGGCCGGAGGCCGCCGCTCTGGGACAACGGCTTCTTCTACATCCCGGACAACACGGGCAACCCAGATGTGAAAATCGTCATGCATGAGGGTTGGTCCCATCCCCCACCCGGGGGAATGGGGGACAAAAACAGAAGTAAGACTTTAACCCCAGCGCACTACGGGGAGAGCCGCGACGACCCTGTGCGGTCGGTCATCGTGCTCCGGTGTTGGATGTTGTGGCGCGCTGGCTCTAACGGATGGTCGGCCGCGCACCCGGGGAGGGCCCGCGACTTCGCGGAGGAGGCTGGGCGCCTGCAGCGGGAGATTCAGGACCTGCAGCCGCTGGCCGGCGGCTTGCTGGGCCATCCCAGAGCGGACGCGCGGCTCCGCGAGTGGGTCCCCGACATAGTGGCCCAACTCTGACCTCAGGGGAGTCGTTCGGCCTGAGTGCCAAAACAGCGCCACTCGTCGGTCACTTTTTTTTTTTTCGCCGATGTCTTTATTTTGCTGTCGCTTCCCGCCTCCCCTGCTCCTCGGCGCCGCCCTCACACACGCGCACACGCGCGCGCACACACGCGCGCACGCACGCACGCACGCACGCACGCACGCACGCACGCACGCACGCACGCACGCACGCACGCACGCACGCACGCACTCACGCACGCACGCACGCACGCACGCACGCACGCACGCACGCACGCACGCACGCACGCACGCACGCACACACACACACAACACGCACACAACACACACACAACACGCACGCACGCACACACACACGCATCACGCAGCACGCACGCACGCCACCGCACGCACGCACGCACGCACGCACACAACACACAACACACGCACACACACACACACACACACACACACACACACACACACACACACACACACACACACACACACACACACACACGCGCGCGCACGCACACAGCGAAGTCATGTGTCTGATATAGCCAGTTGTCGGCGCTGACTCAGGAGTGAGTGGCATGTGTTGCATCGGCCAACCTTCCTGAGTGAGGGCCACCAGCGTTGTTCTTGCTCTTCGCTTCCAGCACCTGGTCTGCACCAGTGCACGCTCCTGGACACATCTGCACCCACGGGCAAGGCGTGCCCAACTCCTGGAAGCCCATGTGGCGTTCGCTCTCCAGCCTTTTTTTGGTGTGCACTCTAACCCCTGGAGACTCGCCAGCGGCCAGCGGTGCTGGTGTGAGAGGGAAGGAGGCGGAGGAGGCGGAGGCGGAGGAGGAGGAGAGACGGGCCGCCCCCGAAGTAGCCGGCAGGCGCCCGAAGGCCGCTCGGGGGCACCCCCGGGGGCGCCAAAAGGGCCCGGGGAGAACAAGAAAACAAATAATTTTTCTTCTTGTTGCGCCCGGGCCTTCTGGGGGCGGTCCTGGGGCTTTCCCGGGGGCTGTTTTGACCCCCCTCTGGACGGTTTTTGGGTTTTTTTTGGGGCCGCTTCTGGGGCCTTCTGGGGGCGGTCCTGGGCCTGTCCTGGGGGCTCTTTTGGCCCCCTTTCTGGGGCCTTCCGGGGCTCTGGGGCCTTGGGCCCCTTCTGGGGCCTTCCGGGGCCCCTCTGGGGCCTTCGGGCCAGGAAAATCGCGCGGGCGCTCGGCCTGCCCAAGAGTGGCCCAAGGGCTTTACGAGCAGCTATCAGCTAGCAAGAGCAGCTTGGTATAGCAGCGGCTAGCAGCAGCAAGCAGCAGCTAACAGCAGCTAACAGCAGCTAACAGCGCGAATTCGCGCTCCTAGCCGCTGTTAGCTGCTGTTAGCTGCTGTTAGCTGCTGTTAGCTGTTGTTAGCTGCTGTTAGCTGCTGTTTGCTGTTGCGAATGGCTGCGAGCAGCCGGGGCTCACATGCAGATTCGTGGGCTCGAGAGCGCGGTCCGCCTGTCCCACTAGGCGGAGCAGGGGATGGCACTCGTATCCACAGCGTCGAAGGCTGGCGCCGAGGTTGCCCTGCGGGGCTACGCTAAACAAGGCTACCTCCCTCCCCCTCCTCTCCCTCCTCCCTCCTCCCTCCCTCCCCGTCCTCTCCCTCCTCCCTCCTCTCCCTCCCTCCTTCCCCCCTCCTCCCTCATCCCTCCTTCCTCCCTCTCCCTCCTCTCCCTCCTCCCCCTCCTCTCCCTCCTCCTTCCCCCTCTTTCTCCCTCCTGACTCTCCTCTCCCTCCTCCCTCCTCCCTCCCTCCCCGTCCTCTCCGTCCTCCCTCCTCCCTCCTTACCTCCTCCCTCCTTCATCCCTCCTGCCTCCCTCTCCCTCCTTTCCCTCCTCCCCCTCCTCTCCATCCTCCTTCCCCTTCCTTTCCCTCCTGACTCTCCTCTCCCTCCTCCCTCCTGCCTCCCCCTCCCCCTCCTCTCTCCTTCTCTTTTTTTTTTCGCAGGCTTCGATGCGGACTCCACCAACCCCGAGCACATCCAGGCGTACCTCATCTTGCGGCAGACACACAGGCGCGTGAAACCGGACACCTTTGTGAACTACATGAAAAGGAAGGAGACTCATTTCGAGCACGGTGGTCGTGTGAAGGAGGAGGTGTGGGGGGTTCCGAAGGTAAACTTCCCGAACGGCTTGCCGCAGGACATGCAGAAGTCCGAGATGACACCGGAGAAGCTGGCAGAGTTGGCCCTCGTGGGCGGCGGGGCGCCCGACCACGAGACGTACTTTTTCATTGACCAGGAATGCGAGCGGAAGACGCTCGGGCAAGGCGTGAAGACCGTGGAATTCTTTTGGAAATCGTCGACCAGGATGCCCTCGGACGCGGTGGCCGGGCCCTCCATCGCGTCGGGCGCCGGAAGCCCCGGCGAGGTTCGCAGCCCGCAGCAGGACAGCGGCGCCGGGGCCGGGGAACCCAACTTGAAGGCCGCGGTGGGCGCCAGGGAGAACCCTTTGAAAAGGCATTCGTCGGACGAGGCCGACGGGGAGGCACCCGCAGCGAAGAAGGCAAGGCTCAGATTGGAGACCTTGCGGACGCTGCGCGATAACATCAAGAGCGCTGTGCAAGCGGGCCATTGGAAGAGCCAGAACGCCCTGCACACCGCCACTGTTGACGTGTACATTGAAGAAGCCAAGGCGATTCTGAAGGAGTTGAGCCTGGAGGCTGACGCGAAGGAGGTTGGTCTCGTGACGAAGTTCACGAACTTCCTGGCGCGGACTTTCCTCGCGGCCCCCGCTTTCGAACACCTTCACATTTTCAAAGGCACGTTCACTGAGCTGAAGGAGTTGGGCGGTCAGGAAACCGGCGAGGGCAAGCTCCTGGAGGCATTGGCCGTGATCACCGCCTCGTCGGATGCCGTCCCCGACTGGTCGCAGGCGGACCCGGTCGCCCGCGCAGCCTTCCGGGGCAGCGCCATGTACAGGAGCTTCGTGGCAGCGCGCGTGGGGGACAAGGTGCGCAAGGCCCAGAGCGAGGAAGGCCAGAAGCGGCTGGACATTTTGCTCGAGTGCTCCGAAGTCCCGAACGTGCCCCCCGCCATCAAGATG